CTAAAACCCTATAAAAAGAAGAAAGAAGAAGAAGAAGACCGTGCTGTTCCTCTCTCTGAAAGGCAACAGCTTTGCCTGGTGAGTCTCATCACCGAGAGCTGACGTTTCAATGCAAGAGCCAAGACCCCAAGCTTCTAAACAGAAAAGAGAAGATTTGGGATGAAATTGCTGCTGAGTTTCGTGCAAGAAACCCAGGATCTGAGCCTAGTAAAGCACAGCAGGTCAAGTGGTCATGGGACCACATTAAACGAAGGTATATTGTATGTAACACTGTTTATTTATAAAATTTCATTACATCACATTTTAGCTCACTAATTCTCAACCAGGCCTTATTGATTCATTGGGGAGAAATTTGATATTAAAGGGAAGGAACTTCTGAAAGGGGAGGATTTGAGGACTGAATATTGTATTACTTACTTTTGATAACTTTTGAACATTTGTTGTCTTATAAACTGATTATATTAATCATCATTGTAAAAAATAATTTACTTGTTGTACCTTGAAATCAAGACATTAAATTGTCACTATAGATTCATGATTTGTATAGCCATATAAACTGAGTTTCAACAAATACTATTTTTAAGAAAAGAAATAATGAAACTAATCGCAACATAATTAAATATAGGGGACAATATGTCATCCTGTGGTTGCAAAGGAAAGAATGTGGAATGTTAAATGTCATTGCTATAACTGAAATATGTTTGTAAATCAGATAAGTTCAAAGGATATATTGAAGCTGGCAAGATTATTATTCATTCTGAGTATATGGTGTAGTATGTTTATTTAAAAGAAATAATAATAATGATAAACAATTAAGGACAATTAAGGAGAATTGATGTGATCGGTCTAAATAATTTTGGAATTGGCAACGAGTTCAAGGAAATTAGGCGTCATTTTGATAAGAACTCCATAACAATGCTTTTGGAAGGTTAATCATATATCCGAAACTCAATGAAAGAAATTTCTACTTGGTAACTGTCTTCAAAATTATGAAACCACCCTTATTCATGCATTCTTGTCATGACCAGCTAAATTATATAAATTAATATTGAAGATGGGAATTAAAAAAAATAATAAATTGTAATTACCTCTCTCTGAGGCCAAATATAAATTGAATTGGTGGCAGTCAGAGAAATAAACAACAGCATAAACAACAATTTTGTCAGCCAAATGAATGTCATCTAAGCTTTTATGTCATACGAACATATGTCATCATTTCATTTGCAGTAGTTATAAAAAAGACCTAAGAAGGTTATGTAATGGAGACATGTTAAATACTTTTAGTTTTGCTCAATTTTACTACACAGATGACAGATGGCATCCATCCCCCAGCACTGACAGTTATCAACTTTAGGCCAATAATAGATTGATTTCCTAATGGTTTGGCACTTACACTTATTATTTTACTAATAGCCATTCTCATGTACAATTATTTTAGATAACAACCATGTTATAAATTGCAAATCATAACTGGCTCTCCTTTCTAATGTTTTGGTTGAAATTTGATCTGCATGTTTCATTATTTGGACAATATTTGTTAAATCACGGAGTCTAAGAGCAATGTTCATTTAATATTTGCTTATTCAGCTCTGTCTTGGCTGTATATTTGAATCTGCCAAGAATGCATCCCAGGTGGGTTTATGGGGGTCACAGGCTATTTGTACATCCAATAATTTTGAAAATAATTGTAAATGCAGCATACACTATTGTGAAAAAAACAAGTTCATTTTTAAATTTGAATCCCTTGATTTACCAAATATCTATTGCAAATATTGTTTGTCCTGTATTTATTGTATCTTACATTAAATATCTATGCCCAGGCTTTCCATACCTCTAACAATGCAATGATCTATAAGTTAGATGTATTTGTTAAGTAATGAAATATTTTCTCTGAAAAGGAACAAACTGTTAAGTATGGTTTTATGTATTCTTCAGTTGACTTTCGTAAACTATAATTTCTGCATTTATTAACAGAGGGAAACAAGAGCAGGCAAAGCAGAAGAGAAGGATAAGTGCTACTGGTGCAGATCCACTACCAAGCCCACCAAGCATGACTGAGGCAATGTCTGCTGCTGCCTTAATCATGGGTCATGAGCTGACCATGAATGATGAGCCAGATGACTCGATGGGGTTACACCCTGTTGATGAGGATGGTGATCCAATTGCCAGTGTTTCCATGGGTAGGTAATTTTAAAATGTTACATTAGTTCGCATGAGCATATGCTATATATTCCATAGAAAAGTTTAGGATAAATTATGATTAATATAGTCTAAAGTTTTCCCTTAATTTCATTACTGATTTGCTAGAGAATACCAATGCAACAGTAATAGAATGTTTAAAGATAGCCATGATTTCAAAAGTTTAACTTGACAATTGTTTGAAAATCCTTTGTGATTGAAATTATACTTTTAAAATTAACTATTTTTTTCTTTATTCATTACAGATCATATAGATCTACAACAGCCAAACAAATCAAGGGTCCCTGCTCCATCTACTTCTCCCTTCACTCCTGTTCCAGCCTCTTCCCTTAATCCCTTTTCCTATTCAACCATTGCCTCCACTAACCCTTTTCACTCCAATCCTTCCTCGTCCTTCCTTAGTTTTCCCCATCTCCCTTCTGCATCATATATTCCACCTACACCTTCACCTTCCATAGTCCCCCCAACACCTTCTCCAATTCCTTCTACTCCTTCCCCTTCACTAGTCCCACCTTCTCCTTCACCAATTCCGACAACACCTTCTCCTTCACCTGTCACCACCCTTTCATCCTGTACTGTTGAGACTCCAGTCCCAGAACCTCCAAAGAAGAGGAAGAGGACTGTACAGGAAGATAAGTTTGAGAAGGCCCAGGAGAGACAGGAAAGCTTCCTTAGACAGAAGGAGAGGAGATTGGAGGAACAACACCAAGCGCAAATGCAGTTATATGCAAGGGCAAACTGGCTGTTGGACAATGCTGACCAATACATTGAAGCACTGTCTGGTAGGCTTGTACGCTTTTTAGATGCAGGTAATGAGGCATATACAAGCATGGCTGAAGCTTACAAGATGATTGCGAGTCAATTAGGCAACAGCACAATATGTGATGTTTGGTAATTATTTATTACCATCAATGTTATTTTATTACTTTATTTTTTAGATAAAGGAAAATTTACTTGTTTTCTGCAAAGAAATCATTTGCTTGTAGTAAAAGGTCATTCCATATGAAATCAACAAGAGTAAGATAAAGAATATTACCTCATTGTATAGGATTTGTTTGAATTTGGTACATATATTCTATTTATGTGGAAGATCCAAATTCCAAATTTGAAGTCAATCATGATTATAGGGAAAAAATTACAAAAGTATTGAAAATTTAAGTATTTCAGGGTTTCCCACAACCCCCTGGAAGGAAAAATGGTAGTATTTACTTTTATACTAACCTCAGGAAGGCCAGTGAGGCTCATTTTGAAGCTCTGTTATAACCAAAAATACATTTGGACCAATACTAAGGAAAGTATGTTATGAAATATAATTGAAAAACAAACCTTTCATAACTTACTTTCCCTAGCACTAGTCCAAATGCATTTTTGGTTATATCAAAGAGCTTCAAAATGAGCCTTCATGGTCTTCCTGGGTTATTGTAAAAGAAAATAACCATTTTCCTTCTAGGGGGCAGCATGAAACCCTGAAATACTATAATTTTCAAAACTCTCTTAAATTTGTCCCCAAAAGCCTGATTGACTTTAAATTTGAATTTGGTCTTCACACCCAAGAGAATATATGTAACAAATTTGAACAATCTGTGATGTAGAGGGTTTCTCAGTGGTTGATCTCATATGGATTTACCCTAAAGTAGAAATCATTTCCTTTCCCTGTGATTTCTTTCTTTTTTTTTGACATAGAAAAACATTAATTTAGTTTGAATAAGTAATTTTTGGTGTTTTTTTTTGTGATAGGGAAAGAAAGTATTTTTTTGTGTGGAAAAGGAAAAGGAAAAAACATTTTTTGTGGAAAGGAAAAAGGATTGTTTTTCTGTAATAATTGTAAATATGTGTTTTCTGTGATAACAAGAAATATGTGAAATAAGAAAAAATAACAAGTTTCTGTGATAAAAGAAAAGGTGTTTCATTTTGTATTAAGAAAAATAAATATTTTTTTGAAGATATGTTTTATTCTCATACAACTTCACAGATATTATAAATTTTTACCAAACACAAACATACTGTATATGTGTTCATACCTATGCAACTTTATTTTATATATTTCACAGTGCTTCTATAAATGCATTATACTTACCAGAAAATGATAATCAATGAATCAATTACTCTCTGAAGCAGTAGGAGAATTACTTAGAAATAAACTTTACATACATTTATTTATCGATATTAAAAATCTACATAGGAAATTATATTTCACACATTTATTTATCAATCAATGTAAGAAATCATAGATATAGCAAAGCCCAAAGCACGTTTTTAGTTGTAATTTACTTTACCATTTATAACACATTTTATGTTCATCAATAAGCTAAATTTATATCTAAAAGACAAACTTTTGCATCAAATATATGAATTTGTATTGGTTTCCTTATATCAAGCTTCATTACTGAATTTAAATTTGAATAAAGAATACATAATGAATGGCAACATGTAACTTTGATATGACCTTGCAAATTCAAAACATAGTCACCATATACTTTATTCAGGTAAACAAAACATGAACCTCCAAACAGCCTATCAATAATTAAAAATATAATCCTTATGAAATAATATACCAAATAATTCTCCATATGAAAAATCTATTATTACTAAAGACCAGCACTGACTAGAACTAAAAAGTAAGAAAATAACTTTGTGTCACTTGAGAAATCAAATAGCCTTTCTACTGGCTTAGCGTCACAATCCACATCATGAACAAAAATATTTTTTCTTCATTATGGTTTCATACAATAAATAAATATATTTTACCTGGCAAATATATAAAATGAAAAACTGATTTCTCGTAATCTTAGAAAAAAGAATCAACAATAAAATTTCTCCGGGTATTGTCTTCCTGCGCATCCTGGGCTCTGATATCTGGGCATCTTGAGGATCAAGTTGGACATCTGGTAGATCTAATGGAATTATAGTCAATTGCAATGTGTGCAAAACTGCACAAGCCATAATGATTTTATGCTTGTGTCCAACTTAGTCCTCATTGGTATAGATAGGACAGCAAATCTCCTTTTAAGCTCACCAAATGCTCTCTCTATAGTATTCCTAGTCCTGACATGGGAGGAATTATACCTACTCTGCTTATCAGTACTAGGATTACCAAAAGGAGTCAGAATGTAGGACCTACAAGGATACCCACTGTCCCCCAACAGAAAGCCTTTATAAATGCCTGATCGCAGCTCCTCACATAAAAGTGACTCATTGAAAATTCGAGAGTCATGGGCACTACCAGGCCAGTTAGCAATAACATTTAAAAATTTTAGGGAAGCATCACAGACACCCATCACATTCAAAGAGAAGAATCCCTTGTGGCATCGGTACAGTTCAACATCTACTCCACCAGGACTTCTAATTGGAATGTGTGTTCCATCTATACACCCAATTACACCTGGCATTCCAGCAATCACAGAAAACTGGCTCATGATGGTCTCTTCATTGATTGGCTCTGGGAACTTGATGTGCTTAGGTGCCAGTTCTGCTATCCTGGCTGCAATAGTTGAGACACATCTACTGACACTGGACTGGGACACATCTGAACAGTCAGCCATGCTCAGCTGAAAATTACCAGTTGCCATGTATCTCAAAGCTATGGTTAGCTGAAGATGAGGTGGGATCGGGCTACCTGTGAAATAAAATAGGTATCATTATATAACATACATATATATAAAATTTGGCCTACACATCATGCAAGAACAAGGAGAGAAATATTGATTTATACACTTATAAATAAGTGTTTTTAAGTGTATTTTATGAACTGGAAGTGTTAGAACATTTTCAGAAAAATTTATGTTCCATATTAAGATACATATTATGCTCACCTCTGTTATTATGAACTATTGCTAGATGGTGTCTGATAGTCTCTAGCAGTTCAGTGACACACTCTTTAGTCAGCCTATATCTTGCAATGAATTCTTTGTTGCTGTAGGATTGAAAAGGATTCATCCTATCACGTACCACATATCTTTCAACTGTGGCTGCTCTCTGTAAAGCAGCAAGATGTTGCAGATGCTGCAAATGCTGCAAATG